CACAACAAGTGGTATCAGAGCACGGGCTACGCTTGGGCTATTTGGAGGAGTAGATCGCTTTGGAAGCTCGTTTAGGGCTTTTTTTGGTGATAAAGGTGGGATCTTTTTGGTAAAGACTGTCGCGCGCCTTTGCGGAAGCCTTGCACGAACTCACAACGAACCTGTGATCACGAGTAGAAGAAAGCCAAACACTTGCACAAACCAAGCCAATTACGACAAATCAAACCAAACACAAGGATATACGTGGTTCGGCAATTGCCTACGTCCACGGGGAGAGGATGGGGAGATTTCACTATATGGAGGAGAAATACAACGGGTTACAACTCACAAAATCACTCAAATATAACCCTAACCAAAGCTCTCAACTCCCTCACAATATCTCCCTCTCAAAGTGCTCAAAACAATGCTAAATCTCTTCTTTTCTCTCCTTTTGAAACCCTAAAAAACGTGGTCCTATTTATAATAAAACACAATCCCAAACAAAGGAGGATTCCTCAACAAATAAGGATTCTAAAAACGAGTCTGCCACACCCTGCACCATGGGTGTGGCAGAGGGTGTGGTGCAGGAGTGGTGCAGGACAGATTCTGCCACACCCTGCACCGGGGGTGTGGCAGAGGGTGTGGTGCAGGACAGACTCTACCACACCCATGGCAGACACCACACCAGGGTGTGGGGGAGCCTGTTTTGAGTTATTCTTCACGTTTTTCACAATTCCTTCGCGGTTTTCACAATTCTCCACCTCGGCGAAGTGTTCCCAACACTGAGCCGACACCAACATGAGCACCAATGTGTCGTCTCTCTAAACTCGGCTGCACCAATGCGGTTGCCTACGTACCCCCTCTCCCAAGGGATCAAGCCGCCCGTAGTTCATCCAAATGGCCGCCAACGGCCTCAACAATTACGAATGTGCAACAAGTTTCGACAATGATCAAACTTGTTGCTCGGAACCACCTTAGTGAGCATATCTGCCGGATTATCCTTCGTGTGGACTTTCACAATTTCCACATCGCCATCTTCAAGAACATCCCGAACGAAGTGATAACGAACGTCAATGTGCTTCGTCCTCGCATGAAAAACCTGATTCTTCGCCAAATATATAGCACTCATGCTATCGCAATGAATAGTGACGGATCGCTGCGATATACCAAGTTCTTCCAAAAGTCCTCGAAGCCAAATAGCCTCCTTCACAGCCTCCGTAACTGCCATATACTCTGCCTCCGTCGTAGACAAAGCCACCGTAGACTGTAAGGTGCATCTCCAACACACCGGCGCACGGGTCAAAGTGAACACATACCCCGTAGTAGACCGGCGCTTATCCAAATCCCCGGCATAATCCGAATCAACATAGCCAATGCATAGCTGCCCACCTGTAGTGTCCCGCTCATAAACCAAACCAACATTGAGCGTACCTCTAATGTACCTCAAAATCCATCTCACGGCGTCCCAATGACCCACTCCTGGATCGTGCATGTATCTCGACACCATGCTCACCGCCTGTGACAAATCCGGCCTCGTACATACCATCGCGTACATCAAGCTCCCAACTGCGCTCGCATATGGAGTCTTCGTCATCAACTCACGATCTTCAACTGACTTCGGTGAAAGACCAGCTGAAAGCTTCAAATGGGCTCCCAAAGGTACACCAACTGGCTTCGTATCCATGCTAACATGGAATCGCTGTAGAACCTTCTTCAAATAAGCCACATGTGTCAGACAAATTCTTCCCTTCTTCTTGTCTCGTCGATCTCCATCCTTAGAATGCGCTTCGCCTCGCCCAAGTCCTTCATCTCAAACTCATTCGAAAGCTGAACTTTCAACTCATCTATAGCTGACCTGGAACTAGAAGCAACCAACATGTCATCGACATAAAGCAACAAATAAATGTACGCACCTCCTCTCAACTTGCGAAAATACACGCAAGGATCAAACTGGCTCCGAGTGTACGAATGACCAAGCATAAAACCATCAAATCGCCTATACCACTGTCGAGGAGACTGCTTCAAACCGTATAGCGATTTCTTTAGCCTGCAAACCAACTTATCTTTCCCTGCAGCTCGGAATCCCAATGGCTGAGTCATATATATTTCTTCATCAAGATCACCATGAAGAAATGCTGTCTTCACATCCAACTGATCTAACTCCAATCCATACTGTGCCACCAAAGCTAGCAAAATCCGAATCGACGAATGCTTCACCACCGGAGAGAAAACCTCATTGTAATCAATACCTTCCTCCTGTGCATAGCCCTTCGCAACCAACCTAGCCTTGAACCTCACTGGAGTGCCCTCAATGCCCTCCTTCTTCGTGTACACCCACTTGCACCCAATCGCCTTCCGCCCCTTTGGAAGCTCTACAAGCTCCCATGTATCGTTCTTGTGAAGAGACTCCATCTCCTCCTGCATAGCCACAGTCCGTTGTCGTGAATTGTTTCACTTCGTACTGGACACAACAAGTGAGACATTTGATTTGGTTGGTGTCGGCTCAGTTTTGGGAAAGCTTCGCCGAGGTGGAGAATTGTAAACACGGAAGTTGTGAGTGGATTGTGGGGGCCACGAGCTGGCAAACCTATCAAGACACGCGATTTGATGTAATCCCTTTCCGCTCATGAATTGGTTCAGCTCCGCGTGGCCCACCCGAAATTGAGTTGCATGCTATAAATAGGAATTGTATTTTCTCCTTAGGTTTTGCGGAAGCAGAGGGGACGTCTTTTGCTGGCGGCTGGAGAAAAATCGCAAGCAGCAAAGGGCGTGCAAAGGCGGGTACAAAGAAAAAACAAAGCGGCGGCTGCAGCAAAGAAAGAAAAATCTTAGGGATTTGTGAAGAGAGTTTTGTGCAGTCTCTTGTGTTTTCTTTTGTGAGAGATTAGAGAGTTAGTTTGAGGGTTTATTTTGTGAGATTGTAAACCTATTGTATTTTCTCTCTAATAGTAGATCCTCCTCCTTGCCCCGTGGACGTAGGCAGTTTGCCGAACCACGTAAAATTGGTTGTTTGAGTTTGTGGCCATTGTAATAGTTTTTAGGATCCCTCGACGCGCAGTCCTAGAGCTGACGAGAGGAAGAGCAAATATCCCACTTTGATGGGATATTAGGCTTTCAGATTCTTGTTCCCTTTGAGAAACAAGAATTCTTATCGATCTTTCTCTCTTATTGTGCACCAGAAACTCTGCCGAAATTTCCGCTGCGCACAACAAGTGGTATCAGAGCCCAGATTCCAGATCTAGGGTTTGGTTGGAGGAGTAGATCAATTTGGAGGCCCGTTTAGGACTTCGTTGGTGATAAAGGTGGGATCTTTTGGTAAAGACTCTATCTTTCAGTTTTGGATCTATTCTTTGTTCGTTGGTGCGTAAGATGTCGGGGAAAGAAGGTGCTTCGGGAGTCGAGGGTGGTTCTTCTGGCGTGAAGACTATTCAGAGTTTGAATATCCACTCTATGAAGATAGATGTGGAGAAGTTTAATGGCACAAACAATTTTGGATTATGGAGATGCGAGGTTTTGGATGCGCTGAACGCGCAGAATTTGGAGGATACCTTGGAGTTAGATGGCAAGCCAGATGAGATTGAAGAGAAGGTTTGGAAAAAGATGAATCGAACGGCGTGTGGTGTGATTAGGTCTTGTTTGACTCAAGATCTAAAATATGATGTGATGAATGAGACTTCTGCGAAGAAGATTTGGGAGATTCTCGAAAGCAAGTATTTGACCAAGAGTGTGGAAAATCGCTTGCATTTGAAGAGGAGACTTTATCGTTTCCAGTTGAAGAAGGGAACCTCCATTAGAGATCACATGAACCACTACACAAAGCTTCTTGCGGATTTGGCGAATGTGGATGTCAAGATTGAAGATGAGGACAAGGCGTTGCTGTTATTGAGTTCCTTGCCCGACGAGGAATATGAGACATTCGTCCTTACTCTGATTAATGGGAAGGCATCTCTTTCGTATAGTGAGGTCACTGCTGCATTGGTGAATTATCAGCTTCGGACGACTTACTCTGATTAATGGGAAGGCATCTCTTTCGTATAGTGAGGTCACTGCTGCATTGGTGAATTATCAGCTTCGGAAGAAGGATAAGGAGAATTCGACTGAGTCGGTAGCAGAGGCGTTAGTCGCAAGAGGGAAGAATCCAAACCGGAAGAATTGGAAGTCACAGTCTAGAGTAGGGCATCCTACAATTGGAAAAGATCAGTGTGCTTGGTGCAAAGAGACTGGTCATTGGAAGAAAGACTGCCCAAAGCTCGACGAATGGATGAAGAATAAACAGAAGGGAAAAGGGAAGCAGCCATCATCAGAAGCAAATATCGTATCGGATGGTAATAATTCTGACTCTTCTATTTATTCGCTTTCTATCAGTCCTACAGATAGCTATTCAGAGGAATCTGAATGGATGTTGGATAGTGGTGCGACCTATCATGTGTGCCCTAGAAGGGAATAGTTCTCCAGTTTTGAGAAGCTGGTGGATAGTGGTGTGGTGTACATGGCTGATAACCGTGCATGAGTTTGAAATATTTAGTTATTTTGAAATTATAAGGAAGGGAGTTATAAACAAGATTCAAGAGGCGCTTAAAATAAAGAAGAAAATTTGGCCTAAAAAATATCTCATCGCTCTCGATCCCCTCCCCCCTCGCAAAACTCTCCTCTCTCCCAAAAGCCAAAAAGCCCGCCTGGCGAGGAAAGCCCACCGTCGTCTTCCTCCGCCCTCCCCTTCCCGCTACAGCGACTCCCTCTCCCGCCGCTTCAACCTCCTCAAATCCTGGGAGTCCTTCCCACCCACCACTTCCTCTCCAGACCCCGCCGCCTCCGCCCGCGCCATGATCGTCTCCAGCAGCGCCCCAGCGGCGCGACGTCCTCTCCCTCCTCCCCCATCTCGAGCTTGTTGTGACCACCAGCGCCGGAACCGACCACATCGACCTCGCCGAGTGCCGGCGGAGGGGGATCAAGGTAGCTAACGCCGGCGGCGTTTTCTCCGTCGACACGGCCGGATTATACGCGTGCGGCTGTTTGGTTGATGCCATGCGGAGGATCTCGGTGGGATCGATTCGTCAGGAAGGGATCGTGGGCTGTTGAGGGGGAGTTCGCATTGGGCACCAAGGTTCGATTTTCCTTTTCTTTCCCCCTTTTTCTTTTCGGCATTTCATCAGTAATTTGGTCTGCAGGGCATAGGATATAGAGTTTTCCGCCGTGGGGACGATATTAAATGTGCACCCAAAGACTCACGATCTCAAAATTTAATGATGTAAGGCTTTATATCCATTTTTGTGCACATTTAATGTCATCGTAAATGGACCCGGATTCACTTGATATTTTTTACCTCATTTCCCGGTGCAAAGTTCAGAAGTAACCACCCCTTCCCTCCCTCTCATTTGCTACAGTACACCAGACCTAACATGAGATTTTAAATTTTTAAAATCTTATGTGGGACCCTGTGTAGCGTAGCAAATGAGAGAGGAGATGTGGTTGGAGTTGTGATTGGGGGCGTGCTCCTATCATTTTCCATTTGCTTCTGCTTATAAGTTAATGACGTCCACTTTTCTCGGTCCTTGCAGCTAAGCGGCAAGCGAGTAGGAATAGTTGGACTAGGAAAAATCGGCTCAGAAATCGCAAAGAGGCTCGAAGCATTCAGCTGCAAAGTCTCCTACACCTCAAGACAAAGAAAACCATCGATCTCTTACCCATACTACCCAAAAATCCTCGATCTTGCATCAAATAGCGACGTTCTCGTAGTATGTTGTGCCCTAACGAGCGAAACCCATCACATAATCAACAGAGAAGTCATGCTCGCTCTAGGAAACAATGGTTACGTGATCAATGTGGGTCGCGGGGCCCTAATTGACGAGAAGGAATTGGTCCAGTGTTTGATGTGGGGAGAGGTTGGAGGAGCCGGGCTTGATGTGTTTGAGGATGAACCTGACGTGCCTGAAGAACTGTTTAAGATGGATAATGTTGTGTTGTCTCCTCATAAAGCTGTATTTACTGAGGAAGCTACCGAGGGTGTGGGTCAATTGGTTGCGCGTAATTTGGATGCTCATTTCGCAAATGAGCCGTTGCTCACTCCTGTTCAATTGGAGTAGTGGATTCTGCTCTTAAACAATGTCATGTACAGTTCAGATGAGTTAAGTGCTAATAAAATAGTTTAGAGATACAAAAATGATAGCACTCCCATAGTGCAAAAGGGGTGTATATGTAGATGTCTACTTTGATCTCAAATGCAGGGAGCTGGCTTTCTGATTCAGTTTCAGTTACGTTACTTGCATGCAATCCAAATTGAGTCCAAATTAAAATTCACTCGTATTTTTTTCTGAGAAAAAACCCATGGAGCATGTAATAGCATTATTTTCCATATTAAAAATCAAGAATTATTGGATAAGGCGATTATAAGTTGTAAGCAATTTGCAGTTTATTTAAGCAGATGTGTAGAGATATTTGTTGTATCAATGGATAACGCGCTATGGTCTTCAACAATTTCAGCTTCTTCTCTCCATGTAAATGGCGGTGCAAAGTTGCGCAATATGATACGATCTTGCTATAGATGAGTCAAAGGAGCTTCGCATTTGGATTCTTTCAAGAAACTATCATGAACTTACATTAAATCTAACCTAGTTTAAATCCAAAACTACGACAGAAGTTCCTTAATATCCAAAGTTTCTCTAGTTTTTACTAGCCAGAAATTTATGGTTGACTAGCACTTCTTTATCAAAATTCAAATAATTTCTTAAAATTTTGAAGACCCCATTATTGATTTGTACTCGGATGTAAAGGTTATTTCCTAGAAACCACCTTAAAAATAGAGTAATTATACGGAAACTACATTTGAATTTTTATTTATACTTAAACTACCTTAAACCGGTTTTTGTTGCAATCAAACCAAGTCCTGGCCAAATTTTCACTAAAAAGCCAAAAATAACCTAAAACTTTTGATGTTCTAATGTGCACGACTCGTATCTTTAACTAAACTTAAACATTAACATAATAAGTCACGTGCCTTGAATGTTAGTTTTTTAAGGGTATCTTTGGATTTTCAATGAAAATTTTGACTGGATCGGTTGGTTGTAACACAAACCACTTTAAAGGTGGTTTATGTATAAATTGACATTCAATGGTGGTTTCTATATAATTATCCTATTTTTTTAAGGTAGGTTTCTAGGGAAAATAAAAACCTCGGATATGTAAAGTTCGTATCGGTGATGATACCTTCATATATCGCACTGAACTCCAATAACGGTAGGGTTACAATAGGGCTAGACCCAGTCAAAGTTTGACTGAACCCGCCCAAAAAAGAAAATCAATTTACCAAAGCTAGGGGAATCTGAAGGTCTACATCCGCTGATATCGCAATCTGATCATGTCGGTGGGTCCAAATGACGAAAACACCATGATTTAGGATTTGTAAGCAAGAGACAATAATACCACACGGACAACCATCAACTGCTTTGTCCAGCTATACAAGTCACAACCACCAAGACCACATCCAGAGAGAGAGACAGAGAAAAAATCCAAAGAAGCCATATTTATGCAAAGATGTTGATACTAAAAGAGAGAAGAAGATGACAAGATACAAAACGCAATTGACAGCTTCTGGAAAGAAAGAGAAACATCAATCCTAGTTGATAGCAGACACTTTAGTTGATGAATTCAATGATGCATGTCGTAATTACACTTAGTTTTTTTTTTAACACGAGAACGAACCTAGACCTTAGAAGCCATATTTGAACCTCCCAACCATTTGAATCACCCACAGTTTCGAGATGACCAAGAATTCAATAACATTCTATGAGATGAAAACGAATTCCTCTTTTAAAGCATAACCTGATATCTTGCTCTTATAGCAAAAGCGGTTTCAGTCAATCAACAAAGAAGCCTTGAGCTTTCTAAGGTCTTATAAAGGATTTAATGAATCAGCTATTCTAGTACATGAACTGGTAAGAGCCTAGCAAATCACATGATTCAAATTCGTAACAAATTTGTAAGGGGGATTAAAAAACATATTATATCAACAAAAAAGTAGCAACCCTGTCTTTCGTTTTTTCAATATTCGGAACAAACAAATAGCAACGTGTAGATCCCATCATTTGCTCATATGGTGATCCCAAGCAAACCCCATAAATTAAGAGGGTCTCCGTCAATCACAAGATACCCATGTGAAAAAGAAGAAAACTGCCAATAACAATTAATACCAACATGACGTTACATAAAATTGAGAATTCAACCTACACTATAAAACTTTCTCGTCTCAACTCTAAATCTAAATCATGTACAATAAGATATCTGCATCATGCAGCGTTGGAAAAAGATTAACAACAAAAGAATGACCCTGAGCATTTATACTCACAGAAGCAAAAAAAATAACAAAGAAGGAAACGCATCAGAGGACAAAAAATTCAAAAATTTTGTAATATTACCATTTAAGGAGTGATGTTGCATTCTCGAAGATAAACCTGATCATAATCCACATACTTAGACCAGTAGTTTCGATATTTTGGCATTCCAATTTCGAGCCAAGGCTTCATGTTGCCATTGTAGTGAATAACTGCTGCACGATCTATATCTTTGTGGTTCACATTAGGATTATAGCCAAGGCCTAATACATGCCATGATCGGTTTATAGGAAAAGTGCGCTTCCAAAATGTGATCAAGCCAGGTGGAAGAGTTCCCAGTTTCCACAATAGTCTATCATGGTTCTGCAAAGGATAAGCAACTAGATTAAGTTTGAGATATAGCATAATACACCAAGAGAATTTTTTTTTTAATTTTTTCCCTTGGTTATATAAAGTTAATAATCTAATCTGAGTTAAAGGTATAAAATCAATATCTGAAAACATCTGACTGCTTATTATTTGAATGCTACTAAGGTAACAAGCTATTTGATGTCTGCATATAATTTAAATGTTTGATGTCACAATTACCACAATGATCATTGCTTAGTCTACTTATTTCTCATATATACATATACTTAAAAACTGAAACCTCACTACTTCGATAATTAGAGAGTGGATTAGGCAGATATTTGATAACTAAAAATATTTGTATACCAATCGTTATATCTTTTGATAATGAAACATAGTATGGAACTGTTTCTACCACAAATATATTCTCAATTCAAATGTAGCAACAACAATAATTTGAATTTATCAGTTAATCTTAGATTATATGATTTTGATCTCCAACTCAATATTTAGGTGTTTCCCCTCTAACTGACCTTCTAGTTTCTATGGCAAGGGCATTTTTCCCATAATTTTTTTGCCCGGAAATTTTACACCTGATTCATTGAGGTTGACATGAAAATTGATAATAAAGGATATTGGTCCATTAAGCTTGTCAAGCAGTACTATGGTTGCTATAAAAATTATAACGGGAGAGAATTTGTTAAATAACATATAACAGTATAAAAAAACCAAAAAGAACTTTCATCAAAGAAAGTGTGAATTATTTCTAGGATGACATGGAACTACTGAACCAAAAGGAAGTAACTAATAAAGACCTGTAACTCACCAAATTCTGCCAAGAGTGGTAGATCTCTGTTATATTTTGTTTCCTCCATTCATCCAAATCAAACACATTCATCCCATATGCCCACCCACAAGCGTGGGCATCAAAATTTTTGGCAATAAGAGGATGCGAGAAGTTAAGATACCGATCAAATCGGTGAAAGCTCTCCCCACAAGTCTCGACTGCACCATTGACCTTTCCTTCAAGATTAATCTCCCAAAGCCCTGTGAGATCCTTTTGAACTACTATATCATCATCAAGAAACACCACTTTGTTAAGCTTAGGGAAAATTTCAGGAAGGTAGAATCGCAAGTGGTTTAGTATAGATAAGTATTTCGGGTTTCGAAACTTGAGGTTTGAATCGGAATTTGCACGATGAGTCCTAAAGTAGTAATCGATCATAGATTGAGACCCAAGCTGCTTTAGAACTGGACTATAGCTCTCATTTAGCCAAGTAAACTCTTCAACATTTTGAACTTGAATTGTAGCTGCCCCTGGTGGATTAGCTAAGAACCACATCCTCATGGCAGCGTAATTAAGCCTATCGGTTACTACATGGAAAACATGATCTGCTGGATTCTGAAGTAAAGAGAAGCTTTTTACAGTTAGCAAAGGAAACAGCCCTAAAAATAGAAGGGTTTTCTAAATTATTCCCTTAAATCTTTCATATTTTGAAATTACTCCCTCAAATCATTGAAATTGCTATTAGGTCCCCAAATTGTCATAAGTTGTTCCAAATTAATCCCTTTGTTTGATACTTCTACTCTTGATTGGAGGGACTAATTTCACAATAACTTTAGAATTGGAGGACCTAATAGAAATTCCAATGATTTGAGGGATTAATTCATAGTAATGTGAGAATTGGGGGGACTAATAGCAATTTCAATTATCTAAGGGATTAATTTCAAAATATGAAAGATTCAAGGGACTAACTAATATCGGAAAAACCCAAAATAGAAATTTGGAATATTAACTTACCTTGGCATGAGTCACAGTAGAATTGACAACCACTGATGCAGCCAAAACATTATCGGAGAAAAGTGCATAATGATGGAGCTTAGGGTCTTCGAGCTTTTCTGGATTAGGGAATTGTTGTCTGCTGGAATCTAGAGAATAGTACTCAGTGGACAGTCGTAATGGGAGGCAGTGGAGACCTTTAGGGAGAGTTTTTGCAGCAAGTTGAGTCAAAAACATTGTTTGTTTCTTATGAACTTTTAGTTGTTCTTCAGATGTGTGAAGCATTGCTCGGAGCTTTTTTACAACGGTAGAACAGTCATCTTGCATTTGCTTGCCTTTTGCCAGAGTTTGCTCCATTAACTTCAGTTTCTCGTTGGCACTAGATTAGCATTGATAGCAGATTAGTTGCAGAACTTCAAATAGAGGCTACTAAGTGCACCAATTAAGATAAGTGATAATATTATAATAAAAAAGGGCTTCAGACGTTATTGCCCCATAAACCATTAAATTTGTCCATGCTTACCCTATTTTCAGTCCCACCTTACCCCTGAACTATCACTTTCCTCTCATAAATTCATTTAAACCACAACAAAAAGTGGTGACGAGGTACTGAAAGTGATAGTTCTGGGGTAAGCTGGGATGAATTTAATAGTTCTAGAGGCAAGTAGGGACTGAAAATAGTTAGGGAGTAGGCGGGGACAAATTTAGGTTAGAGGGTAAATAAGATGACTAGAGGTAGACATGAGAGATCTTAGCTGGAATAATTAAGAAGGATATGATAGTAATTAACATAATGAAGAAGATAGCCCTTAACAGAACTGAATCCCAGAAATTGGGATGAACAAAAAGTGTAACATCCAGAGAGAAAGTAAATGAGGATATACCTTTTTGGTAGATCGGAATCCTTGGTAGCATCACCAAGAACTCGCTGAACATCTCTTATCCGAGCACGCAGCTCTCTTATAAACTGTGGGTTGCTACGAAGCGGTCCCAATCCTTGATAAACCCTTGCCCTTATCAATTGATCCTTAAGTTGTTTCACTCTAGAATCAAGCATAGCTGTGGAACTTTGTTGTTTATCATTAGCAGATGTCTGCACTTTTCGGGATTCAACTCTCGGTGGAGTTTGTTGAGATTGTTCAACTTTATTCTCCTGGAAAAGTAACAAAAAATTAGCTAGTACAATACTAGTTCAATACAATTGCTTCTCACATGAATTTACTGGTTAGATTTAGAAAAAGCTTTCAAACTTTAGAATGTCATCTTATGGACATACAATTCAGTTGTATTTTAGGCAAAAACATTTAACCATTAAGAAACAAATATTTTTGAGGTACTATACATGTGGCAAAAAAAGTCCACCATTTGACCATCAACCTCTTCTCTCTCTCTCTCTCTTTTGTCATACATTTTTAACTGTGAGTCAACATGGCACTACAACACCACATATAGTCATTCAGTCAATTTAAAATAGAGGTATATAAGAATAAATGCAATTTCAGAAAAGAATCCTTATTTTACCCCTATTGTACTGCATCAGTAGGTTATATTATCCCATGCCCAAATTAAATGAAAGTATGGTCACCTGAAAACTATAATGGAGGACAACCAATATGCAAAGTCTACAAGAAATGAACACGCTTCTTATTCTATTGTACTACAGTTAGATTGCCCAAAAATCTAAGAAAAGAATCCTAAATTTACCCCATTGTAAACCATACATAATTATAATATTCTATGCCCAAATTAAATAAATGTAAAATCACATGAAACTTCACAAAAGAACTATAATGGAGGACAACTAGTATGCATAGTATGCAAGAAATGGACGTGCTTTTATTCTATCATACAACAGTTAGATAGCCCAAAAATTGTGAAGAATCCAGTTCTCATGAAAGTGACATAACAACCATATACTGCGAGGAAAAAGATAAAAATACGAGATATAACCTATATAACCTATAACTAGGAGAAAAATCGGATGCAAGCAAATAAGCGAACAAGTCATTTTCAATATACTTAAAGCCTCCTAGATTTACAACGGTTATCAGCAACTACAGCTTGACTAAATCAATGGAAAATGGAAAATTTTATTCATTTATAGTTTGAGAATATATGGATAAGGTCATCATCAAATTACCATTTTCTTCTCTTTATTCCCTTGAGATTCCAGTTGGGACTTCTGAATACCATTGAAATCATTGTTATCCCTTTCTGTCACTTGCTCAATCACACTTTTCGCAGACTGAGTCCCCTCATCGGCAGCCGAAAGAGCACGGGATTTGTGCTCTCTAGGTTTCCCCAATGGCAATTCTGCAAAGAGTTTCATGCTCCATCAAAATTTAGATCTTTAACAAACCAGCTCAGAACTCATTCAGGGGTGGGGTGGGGGGAGGGGGGGAATCAGATCTTCGTCCAACAGACTAAAATAGAGATCCTAATTGCAGAAATTAATCCAACCTTTGACCAGTTCATGGCTAGATTGGGCCGAGATCTGAACAGAATTGCTCGAGTTATCAGAATAGATTTCCCCAGTTGGCTCTTTCACAGTATTGATGCTTTCCTAAAATTATACATCCAGCAGTTACTAGAACTAAATCCCACAAATCTGCAAAGAGAAAAATACCAAAAAGTTGAACAAAAAAGGTACCTGATGAAGGGCATTTAATTTCTCTGGCTCATTTCCAAAACTCTAGAAAAATAAATAAAGATGGGCGTCAATAAATTTTAACAAAAAGCAAAATCATTAAATCAAAAAGGATCAGAAGAAGGATTCAGCCATTACCCAACTGGAACCATCGTCAATGAAGTCATCATTAGCTGTCAAAATCAAATTTTGACAAAGAGAAAACTAACATTAGAAGAAAAAAATCACTAAAATCATTAAAAAAAACCCAAAAAAAAGAGAACTTGAGATGAAGATAGTTACAAGAGGGAGTAGAGAAAGCAGCAGAGAGTCGATCCGTGTAGAGAACGATGGGAGCGAGAACAGTGACGCAGAGGAGAAATATAACTGGTTTTCTCTTCACCATCTTGTTATTTAGAATACCGGAAACCGCTCATTACAGCGCAGAAAACCGCTCGTAGAGATGAAGACAGAGCTCAAAACCGCTCTCTCTCTCTCTCTCCCCTCTTTGATTCTCCCTCTTCTTTCTCTTGGTTTGTTTTGCGTAAGAAAATATTGAGGAAATGAGGGCTTGATGTTTTTATTGTCTCTTGGAGGCTTGGGCCACCTCTCGGCCACGAACGGGAAGGGGATCATGTGACCTCACCTCCTCACACTCTGTTAGTGGATCGGGTATGGTAATCCGAAACCCGAACCGAAATACTTTTCTAGGACACGCAGCACGTTTGTTAACTATAATCATTAACTGCACATTTTACAGCTGTTAACTAATAATCAGAAGAATTCTGCACATGGTCAGACCCGTCAGGATGTGAAAACTGTATTTTTTCTGTTCCGAAAGTTGTTGCCCAGAGACGGATGGTTTTTGATGAATAAATAATTTACAAGCTGTAGTTTTCATAAACGAATAATGGATTCCCATATCATTTTTGTACATTTTAATATTTTACAGTGCAATTTATCATCTATAAAAATTCTGATGTACCGATTACAAGAGTAACGGTTACTTATATTCGAATCCGAATCGTATCAATACTACTGGCATGCGTGCACGTAGTTATATGTCATTCATGGGGGGTGGTAGGGGTCAGATTGGAAATCTCCCTACCCCTAGTGAACGGACAAATTTTCAAAACCAACTTATTTACAAATTTAATCGCAGAAAACAACCTATTTCAAATTTAATTGCAAAAACCGACCTGGTTTCAGCCTTGGCGCTGAAACCAGGTCGGTTTTTGTGAAAAAACTTTCAAAACTTCACGGGAGTTCAACTCCCGTGAAGTTTCTCAGTACAAAAAAAAAATTGAACTACGAAACTTCACGGGAGTTCAACTCCCGTGAAGTTTCGGATAAAATTTTTTAAAAACCGACCTGGTTTCAGCTCCAAGGCTGAAACCAGGTCGGTTTTTGTAATTAAATTTGAAATGGGTTGTTTTCTGCGATTAAATTTGTAAATAGGTTGGTTTTGAAAATTTGTCCCCTAGTGAACAGATCAGTACTCCTGCTTGCATTTGTTCCCCTTATTTTCTGTCCTTGAGACTAATTTCGTAATTGACTGTCTCATTTCCAACTGGTTCCTCAATCTATCTAAGTTTTTTGTGCTCGAATCTTGTCTTATGGATCTTGCTGATACACGACAGCTTTTCTTACATTCCTGTGCTACGCATGAAGCGATTTTTAGGAAATTCTAAGTCGAAGGCTGAAGTCAAATTAAAAACGAGGAATAAAATGAAATAAAATGATCAATCATGAGTCCTCAACTCAATTTTCTAAACAAACGGGTTAAATTATATACCCGCGGATTTGGTAAAAATAAGCTAGAACGGGTCGGAACCCGTAGACTCGGATCCAATAAGAGAGGGATAAAAGATCTGCCGACACGTAAATTTGGCCGTTGAGGATCTCGGGGAGACGACCCTGCTCCCCGGAAGGTGTTTATAGCAAAAAGCGTACAACTCCAACATTGGTAATTACTCCACCATTTGGGGGTATATCTGGTAAAATGAAGGCCCAATTTTTAACTTTCACTTCGGTCATTTTAGGTTTTTTATGCATAGTTACTATTTATAGGGGATGCATGAAAATTTGCACCCACCCCCTTATAATAATAACTATGCATAAAAAACGTAAAAGTATGTTTATTATTGTAAAGGATGCAAATTTTCAAATATGATCAAATTAGAATGGTTGAAATGGAGAAGTACTTCGAAAGTATTATGTAATCGTAGAATACTAACAGTGTTTTATGGCTTAGAATGTTGGGCAATTAAAAAACAACATATGCAAAAAATGAGTATAGCATAAATGAGTATATTGTGATGGTCTTGTAGCATATATTAAAAGATACGATAAAAAATGAGTGCGCCCGTAGAAAATTAGAGGTTGCTCCTATTGATTATAAAATTTGAGAGAATCAACTAATATGGTTTGGTCATATACAACGGAGAACTCTTAGTACACCTATTAGGAAATGTCATAGTATTATAATTAATGGAGTTAGGACATCTAGAGGTAGACCGAAAAAACTTAATTGGAAACAATTAAGAAGAATATAACTATGTTTAACTTAACGGAATAGATGTCTCTATTATGGGATACAACTGTTTCCAAATATATGATCTGATGAGTCGCTATCTCCATCCAGCCAGACAAACCGACACCCTAGTGTCGACATGAGAAGCGGTGCTAATCGGCACGAGACATCTTAACTTCTCAGACGAGTCGACATCTCGACCGACGGGAGAGATAGCCAGAGATCAGCTAGCAGGCCGACTCAACCGACCAGGCGAGTCGACATTCATCAATGTCGATACGAAAGGCGGTACCAGTCAGCCCTCTCACAGCAGGCAACTCGTCAAGAGCCTAGTCGACCCAGTCGAGTCGATACTCCTCCATGTCAACTCGAAAGGCGGAACGAGTCGTCACCCTACTCCATTTAGCCAGCAATCCTTGAGTTGTCACTCCTCTCAACGAGTCGACTCTCCTCGCGGGTCCCATCATGAGGGACATTGCTTCTCAGCGAAGCTAGAAGATAACTTCGCCAAAACTTATCCATCCTGACAACAAGTCATATCATGTCTACTCAAAGACCATGTGTCATCACGTCGCTTTTTAGCCCACGACTCATCGATCGCTCCTCAAATCGAGGCTGAAGTGATCTTCCTCCTGTCGCCAGCCGACACATGTAGAGCAAAGGATGACTCACCTTCCAACTCACACTTTGTCATCGCCATTTGCATGGCCGAAATGACCAATCTGCCATTGACATCCTCTTTTATATACAGATGTTATTCGTCATAGCCAAAGGTTCGCAATCTAAAATCTCCTCCTGACCTAAATCTCAGAGATCATCATCTCTAATGCACATAGCATAAGAACACATAGTTCTATATCTCCTCCTGACCTAAATCTCAGAGATCATCATCTCTAATGCACATAGCATAAGAACACATAGTTCTATTACTCCACTCAAGCTCAAGTTCATCAACTGACTTGATCGTCGGAGGTACCACGGGGGAATCACCACCCCGCCCTCTCACGACCTTCTTCTGTGCAGATCGTTCACTCTAACTCAGTGGCCAAGACATAAATTCAGGGAAGGAAGCGATCTCCTCCATCATCTTTCATCACTCTGCAACCATCCTATTATGGATTATTCTGTATGATTTGAGCATCGACAGATGTCTCATAATAGAATAGAATGGAATGATATAATTCATGTAGCACACCTGAAATATTTGAGATAAAAGGCTTTGTTGTTGTTGTTGTAAATTTTATTGAAGAGGGCTAAATTACCAAATTAGCTTTTTGAAGAGGGCCATGTTTTCAACATGGTAATTTTTATTCCACGGATGACACCTATTAATATCAAAATCAACATCAATTTGTTTATTTTTCTATACAGAACTTACGATATGGATATTTTTCCTTCTACAAAATAATATTAAATTGGTGTTAAACATTGATATCAATATCACGATGTCCCCAAGAACAGAAAAAAGTACCATATTAAAAATATGATTCGACTAAAAAATACCATTCTGATAACTTGAAAATATGATCCTCTTAAGAATACCAATATGGTTAATTGCACGTAAATATCTTCGACTACCTTACCATGGTATTTATTACCCAATTGGCCAATAAATTTAAATTTGGCCCGCAGATCTGACTATCTTAACCTCAATGTACCAACCAATTTCTTTCATCGATCATATCTGCCAAAATATTCCCGGAATTAAGAAAAACACCCCACCCAAGGAGTCTATATGTCAAAACTGAACTACATGAATAATAAGTTCCAGAGCTAAAACAAGCTCTAGCAATACAATTATAACTTGAGATCCATGTCTCTCCAAACCATGCAGCGCTTCTTCCTTCTCAGCAAAATTTTGAGTTTTATTACTTGGATGGGGTAAAAAGTTGTTAGCGCAGTAAAGATTGTTGGGAAGCTATCAGGCTCAATTAAAAGTTGATGAGCCTTAAATAGAGTCTAGGAATCAATTTTAACTCAAAAACTATAACTACTAGGTATTGGCTGGAGCTTGTATTTTGAGCTCATCAATGTTTCTAATCCTATCTAATGTGGTATTATACTCACATATTAATAAACTCAATAACTACCCCTTAATTTGTGAGTATAGTTCAATCTTTAATTGCACTTTAATTTTCATGGGATTCACTAACTTTTACACCACTTCACTCATGGCCTAACCAATTCACTAATTTTTGCACAATTTCACTCATGAGCTAACCAAAACATGCTGAAACCTTAGGATCTTCCACCACTCCAGTCATGATGGATAACCAGATTATATAACTCCTATGGGAGTCCATGAGTTTTGCTGGCACCTTTAGGCTTCACATTGCACTTTTTTTAAGTTCTTCTTTTCTTTTAGGCGCCATTTGGCGACGGGTTAAGTGAGGGCTTAAAGAGAGTTAACCCCTTCTTAACCCGCCAAATACAAAAATCTACAGAATGTTTAAATTGAGTTAACCCTTCATAATTTGCTAAATGTGAAAAATACAGAAGAGTTAAGATAACCCCTCTAGAGGGATTAAAATGAGTTAACTCCTCAAAATGAGGGGTTTACCAATACTTCTATTTAAAAGAATTAAAAATTAACCCCTCTATTTATAAAGAAATAGTCAAAATCCTCATTATTCCCAAACACCAAAATTGATCACAATGGCTAAAATAAAATTTATTTAACGAGTTAATAATTTAGTCATTCGGGTTATCGAATGGGCTAACTACATTAATTTTTCTCCTTAATCTCTCTTCCTTAACCCTTTGTTAAACGGAGCCTTAGTTATTTGGACTACAACATTAGGTTTGATACCATTTGCTAGGGAGTAATCAGGTCCAAACAAGAGTTTATGGTCCTTAAACAGAGACTAAGAATTAATTTTAATCCAAAAGTTATAGGTAATAGGTATTGACCCCAACTTTTATTTTAAGCTCATCACTTTTTCTAATCCTGTCCAATATGGGGCTATGCTCACATATTAGTAACCTGAACAATGATAATGATATTATTAGTTTAATACTACTTTGCCTTTCTTAAGTAATCAAGCTAGATTAG